TTTTTTAAAATATTTTTAATTGTTAATGGACCTTTATTTTATTTATTTGTATGTGGTGTGAGGATTGAACCCAGTGCCTCATGCACAAGCGCTCTAGCACTGAGCCATAACTCCAGCCATGTATTGCTTTTTAATAACCTTAATTACCTTCATTTGACTTTCTTTAGAATGATGATCTTTTATCTTTCAAGGCTAGAGTTGGTTTTATAAATTGTGTTTCTGAGCCAGGTCTCATGAGTAAAGCTGCCACCACTTGGGCTCAGCGAGTTTGCCAGACAGTGTGCCCTGAACTCTGAAACACCGCCTGCTAGTCACCAGGTCACAGTTCACTCTTCTGCCAAGGCAGAGTTGCAAATGAAAATTATCCATAATACCAAAGGAATAAAGTGGGAGGCCTTCCATTTCTTGGATCTGTTTACTTTCTTGGTAATGAAGTCTGGACGGCTGGCTTTGGGCCAGGTCTGGGCTGTGCTACTCCCTCCTGTGATTTTTATCTTTAAAACAGGCTGATTTTTTTAGCTCCTTAGAAAGAGCTTTGGTGTTTTCCACGTCAAAATGTGTGGACTAATATTTCCAAAACCATTCACCATGTTCCACGTTACTCTTAAAATTAGGCCAGGTCCTTATTTACAAGTTACTTTTGGCTTTCACCAGAACAGTTGACCATCAGGTTAAGAGAAGAGTATTTGGGCCTTTCCATGATCTCCCCAGCTCTAGATGCCCGCGACTGTTCACACAGGCCAGGATCCCACTTCTAACCATGTCGTCATGCTGATGGGGACTGGAGAGCCACTCAACAGGAGGTTCCAGTGGGACACAGGCATCACACACATGGCTGGAGTTGCAAGCAGAAAAGTGTTTCTGAGATTCTGACCTCACCCCTTCTCTCTCCACTCCAGCTGTGGAAGTGTCCTAAAGTGGGTCCCGGTGCTTGCGTGGTCCCCGCATCTCCAGTAGCTTGGACCTGGCTGCTTGCTCCTAAGAGTTGAATCCAGCAAGGTGACGGGATGTCCCTTTAGTGACTAGGCTGCCGAGGACTGGGACTCCGTCTCCCAGCACTCTCTCCCCCCTGCTGGCCTTCTCCCCTGCTCTCTTCGCTTGCTGCCATCTGGAGAGGCCAAGAGGGCAGAAGCGAGGTCTCTCAGGAGCAGCCCCCAGAGCCCAAGACCTCCAGGTGGACAGCACTGAAAGGCTGATCCTGCCAGAATCATGCCCAGGGGCTTCAGACCAGGTCTTCCTGTAGTCTGACCTTGAGGGAGACTGCAGCCGGGGCCTGACTGAGCTGGAGGACACATCCCGTCAGGGATGCTTGTGAGCATGGGTTCCTGAGGAGAGCCTGGGAGGTAGCAGACAACGCTGTTTTAAGCCACCAGAAGTGGATTTGGAGGTAATTTGTCACGCAACAATAAAGACTATCAAGAGCCCTTGCTCCCTTAATATTCTCCTCTTTTTCTTTTTTCTTAGAGACAAGGTCACTCTGTGCTGTCCCATCTGGCCCTGAGCTCCTGGAGTTAAGTGATCTCTCTGCCTCAGCCTCCCAAGTAGCAGGACTGTGAGGTCCATACCACTCCTCCAAAGGAATTGGACTTGATCATCTGTTTCCTTCAGCCACTAAAATCAGACTCACATTATTTGCTCCAAAATTCACTCTTTTCATCCTCATGAAGGTTGAATTTACTAGTTTTAAGAAAAGTTTTTGCTTTTGGTTGTGGAGTTTTTTGTTTTATTTTTGCTTTGTGTGTGTGTGGCTAGCTAGGTACTGGGGATTGAACCCGGGCCTTTGACATGGTTGGCAAATGCTGCGCCACTGAACTATACATCCCTTCCCTGGCCCCGGGAGGTTTAGTTTGCAGAACTGGCTGGAGTGAGCGAAGTCAGGACCCTGCAACCTCTGGAGGGGCTCAGGGTCCTTAGGGCCAGCCGCTCCTCCTCCGCGCTGTGCAGGGTCTGGCTCAAAACACCTCCAGGTTGTTCTCACTGTGGTTCCTACCTTGCGGTGTTTTTGTTTGTCTACAGTCCAGAGGACTTTCCGTTTTCTACACACATTATTCCATGAATTCACGGGAGTGGTTCAGCAGATGGAGCTCCTTCTTACAGGTGCCCACAGAATGCACTTCTCGGGTGCAGCATGCTGGCATGTCAGCGGATCCAGTTCCTTTCTTTTGACCCCCTTTTGTGGCCCATCGTTGTCCATTGCTATCTCAGGAAGCACTCTTGAGCTCTGGGCATGCTCAGTGTGAATGTTACTTCTTTTGGCTTGACCTTGCCTTTGTTTACAGGGGTGCCCACAGCATGCTGTGTAAGGCCTCAGGCTCCTCCAGCTCTTCTACTGAGGCTGCTTTCTGAACAGTAGCCACACCATTGACCTTGACCTCTCTAAGATCACCTTTCCTGAAGACTTGCATGCACAAGCCCAGAAGAACAACTCCATGTTTTCTTTTCTTTTCCTTCTTTCTTTCATAGTTCTAGAGATTGAACACAGGGATGTTCTACCATTGAGCTTCACCCCAGCCATTTATATTATTATTGACTTACTTATTTTTGAGACAAGGTTTTGCTAAGTTGCTGAGGCTATCCTTGAACTTATGATCCTCCTGCTTCAGCCTTCTGAGTCACTGGGACAACAGGCGTGTGCCACCACGCCTGGTGCAGCTCTGCATTCTCTAAAGGCTTAGAGAGCATATACAGGGTACCTCTCCTCTTTCCTTTCGTTTTAGTCATTTTGGCAAATTATTGGAAAATGGTAGTTCCAGCCAAAAGGTTCTTCTTTGGTTGTTAAAGAATTATCTGGAGTTCCTTCTTATTTCTTTTTCAAGAATATTTGAATTTATTATTTAAAATAACAGCCTGAGCCAGGCAGAGTGGCGCACATCTATAATCCCAGCTAGTCCAGAGGCTGAGGCAGGACCATCACATGCTCAAGGCCAGCCAGGGTCCTTTCATTCTCCACACTGCCTTCCTATATCGCTTGCTATTGACTTCAACACATGAAAGACATTTCAAAGATTAAATACCTCCATTAAAAATTTAAACATGAGCTGGGGCTGTGCCTGGCATGTGTGAGGCACTGGATTCGATTCTCAGCACCACATATAAATAAATAAAATAAAGGTCTATCAACAACAAAAAAAAATATTTAAAAAAAAAATTAAACAGATTCCAGATTCCAGAATCTCTTCTCTCTCAGTCCCGGGTGTTTGACAAGCCTCCACGGCCCCTGCTTTGAGGCTCCTGGAGAGCAGCCGTTCTCTGGGGGTGGTGGAGGCCGGTTTCTGGGCTGCAGTCAGGCTTTGGTAAGATGAAGGCATATCAACAGCAAGGAAAACCCGATGCTTCAGGGTCTCACCGCACCCTCAGGGTGCCCTCAGGGGTGTGGCACACATTCCACCCCTAGGCATCTGCATGCTCTTCCTCCTCGCTCTGAAATTCTTGGCTGATGTCCACCCTTGAGAAGGCCTTACCCCAGCTGGGCTAGCAACATCCTGTAGACCCTGGGGTCCCTGCTAAGGGCACTCTGTTCTGAGACTTTTAGAGTCAAAACCACTCCAAGTGGCTGGCCTCAGGAGGTGCACACCTACAGTCCTCCCTACTCGGGAGTGAGGCAGGAGGATCCCAAGTTCAAGGCCAGCTGTGTCTCAAAATAAAATATAAAAGGGCTGGGGCTGCAGTTGAGTGATCCATTACTTGCATGCATGAGGCCCTGGGTTCAATCCCCAGTGCTGCAGAAAGCAAAAACAAAACTTGCTTGAAGGACCATGTTGGTCTGGCCTTCAGTCAGGCATCATGGTCGACTCTGGCTGACTTAGCAAGGAAAGGGGTCCATTAAAAGGGAAAGTGAGGTTGGCACCCAGGTGGCGGGGAACCACAATGGAGGCACTGGAGCCGACAACTAAGGCCCCATCCCATCTGGGGCTGGTGCAGGAAGTCCCCTGCCCCTGGTGCACGCCTGTCCTGCTCCCACTGACATGGGCAGGCATTGCCCTTGACGGTTGCAGCCCTGCCATGTTATCCCCAGGAGCTGGAGGTAGCTCTACCATCACATCTACTCTTCCTGACACAGGGCCCACAGGGGAGCCCACGTCCTCCCTCCAGAAGAGCCGGGAAGTGACCACCTGGTGTTTCTATCTCTTCAAGGGAGATGGGCCAAGCCTCTGGAGGAAGGTTGCTCCCTAAGTCTCAGAAGGGTGTAGATTCTGGTAACCAGGAGAGACAGATGCCCACTGCAGTGGGCTGGATTCCCAAATGCCCTTGACAGCTGAGAGCCCACCCCTGAGCCACCAGGCATGTGTGCACCAGGGCACATGGCACAGGCCCCGCTGCCCATGAGATACCCCGAGGACTGCTCCTCTAGCTCCACTCTGGCCTCACAGAGGGAAGTCTGGCTCTAGGGCTCTGTCCAGGCCCTCCTTACCAGGGACCAGCCTCGATGCCTGGAGAACACAGGGCACCTCCTCAACAGGCAAGTGGCTGAGCAGGTCCTAGTAGATGTGACAGTGTGTCCTGGTGGGGCAGGAGCTGAGATTTAAATGTGTCCTACACAGCTTTCTCTCCCAAGATCCCACCTCCGTCCACTGACTCATATGGGGGCCCCTGGGGAAGAACCAGCTCAACTCTGTCCACAATTTAGAAATTCACGGATTTGTAGGAGAGGCTCTGTGGAACCCAGTGGAAGCAGATGATAGGATTTGCCCTATTTCTAAAGGTGTCAGGCAGGACAGCCAGATGTTGAAATAGGACGAGGCTGCAGAGGGAGGAGTGGCCTACGGAGGCAGTGCCAGGCCTGATATCAGAACCTGTCCTGCCAGGGTCTTTGCTCCAGGGGCATAGCAGCCATGGATACCAGTTTGGAAGACAGTTTTATTGCAACCCATGAGTTTGGGGCTCAGGTAAACAGTCTTCTCATGTCCACGACTAAGCCTAGTAATGACGGAGAGGGTTGTTTGGTTATTCGCTACCTGCATCTTACTCACATTTTGCGAACACTGGTGTCTAAGGGAATCAGTGGGCGTTGACTCCTCAACATGGAGCCTCTGCAGGACCCAGGGCAAGACCAGATCAGATCAGAAGAGGCTTCTCCAGGGCAATGTTGGGGTGAGGGCAGTAAACAGGGTACTCTGAGGCAGCAGTGGGTGCAGCCAGCTGGTGTGGGAGGGGGGCCTGGCTGGTCACTCTCCAGCTGCTTTCTGTGTCTTCACTCACTAGTCCTCGCTGCCGTCCTACTGGTGGACATTATTGTCATAATCATCCTCCTCTTTTATGGATGAGAAACTACAGCTTAGGTAGTTGTCATGTGTCAATTGCATCTTCCAAAGCCTTTGTCACCGTAGCACCTGAGCCACCTTTATTCCACTCTGGGACCCTCACACTCCTACCACTGAGAGGTGGGACATGGGAGGGTTAGGCCCCACTTCCCTCCACTTAACCCTGAGCAGTGTTCTGCCTCTCTTGTCACCATCAGAAAGTCACAGAAGTGAATGATGTTACTACCACAGTCATGTCTTTGACCCTGGAACTCAGAATGGGCAAGAAGTAGTCCCACTGTCCTGACTTGCCACGCTCTGAGGAAACCCAAGCTAGCCCACAAGGCGACTCCCCAGGAGGTCCTGAGCCCACATGACAAGGAAGAGACACCCAGGCAGCCCAGCTGCTGCATCTCCGTGCTGTTTTGGTTTCAGCCACTGTCCGATCTCGAATGCATGGGAGATACAGAGATGGCCAAGCTGTTCCAAGACTCCCAGCCACAGGAACCATGGGAGGTAATAAAAGGAGGGCTACTCATTTTAGGTTGCCAAGTTTTTGGATTCATAACGAAGCAACAAGAAACAAAAGACTTGTTCAAGCCTTCTCAGCTGAGATTCAAATCACCCATCTAGACATAGGACAATACCCATACACACAAAGACATTTTTTTTGAAATTTCCAATATGCTTGGAGTTTTAGTCCATTTTGTGCTGCTATGACAAAATACCCGAGGCTGAGTAGTTTATAAAGCAGAAATTTATTTCTCACAGTTCTGGAGGCTGGGGAATTCCAAAATGTAGGCACTTCAGGTGTGGCTTTCTGGTGAAAGTTGATCTGTTTTTAAGATTGTTCCCTGACATGACATCCACCTGAGAAGAAAAGTGCTGTGTTCTCACATGGTAGAGGGACAGAAGGAGGGAAGGAGTCTTAAGGCCTCTGGCAAGCCCTTGTACAGTGGCACCAATCTAACATCCTTGCCAGCAAAGCCCTCATGATGTCCCCAGAGGCCCTCACTTTCCAACCATGGCACACTGGGGCTTGCTTAATTTTCAACACTTGATTGTGGGGACACATTGAGACCACGGCACCTTGAGAAGGGGACTGATTATTGTGGGGTTTGGAATTCCTAAGATTCAGGTGACAATTTTTAGTGTGGCCATGTTTGTGCCTATAATTTGATTAGCTCTGATATATTTAAGTAACAAAGCAAAGCCAGACTTTTCTTTCTAAAAATATGCCTATCTTCTTCTTAGCCCATGAATGACAATTAAGTCAAATGCCTCTCAGGACTCACCCTGGAGGAAGGGACATCTGAAGCCAGTCCTGGTGTCATGGGCCTGTAGTCCCTGTTATCTGGGAGGCTGAGGCAGGAGGTTCTTGAGTTTCGGGCCAGCCTGGGCAACATAGCGAGACTCCCATCTCAAAACACACACACACACACACACACACACACGCGCACACACA